CATTTGGCCCGCCTGATGGTAACCGGTCACCATAGCTTATAGACTATGGTGGCCGCTTATAATTAGGCGGGTCATATGGCTTGCCAAAATATCACACGCGCCGTTGCCTGCCCTGACCCAATCCCTTGCCCTGTGGAACCCCCTAATCTTACTCACCAGCAGAAACACAACACCATCAAAAGCTAGTGTTATTATACTGTGTTCTTCTGTAAGGTGAAGGTAACTTCCTCAGACCTACCTCTCTTGTAACTCGATCTCATCTGTATTTCACTTGCAAGTTTGATTTAAGTCGATGCTGTTTTTTTCTCTGCTATAACATTAACTAATAAATCATTCAAATTTATTGATTAGAATAAATAGGTGGTGTCTATGGTAACATTAATTACGCATCATAATATAAATATTTCGAAAAGCTTGCAAACTGACAGAGTAACTTCGAATTCAACCGCAGTTCATTAATTAGAACTCCGCAACTAGGATTTGAACTGTTTTTTTTTATACTTGTTTGAATCTTCTCTTCTTCTTCTTCAACCTTAATCCACCCACTGCTGGGTATAGGTCTCCTCTATGGTGCGCCAATTTGCTCGGTGTTGTGCGATCCGGATTCAATTTCGTCCTGCTACTCTGGTGGTGTCATCGGACCATCTGGCGGGATGCTTATCTACGTTTCTGCGTCCTGTTCTAGGCCGCCACTCCACAATAGCTCGACTCCACCTGTCGTCCGTTCTGCCAACCTCGTGACCTGCCCACCTCCACTTCTTCCCTGCGAGTTCGCGAGCAATGTCGGGTAGTTTTGTTCGTTTCCGTATGTCTTCATTGCGTACACCATCTCTCAAGGATATACCGAGCATGGCACGCTCCATTTTTCTCTGAGCGACTTGCATGGTGTGGACATGTTGCCTTGTCATAGTCCAGGTTTCGGCTCCATAAGTCAGAACAGGAAGAAGACATTGGGTGAATGCTTGACGTTTGAGGAAATGTGGCATCATACTTTTGAAGATGTCGGATAATTTGCCGAACGCTGCCCAACCCAGTCCAATACGACAGTCGATTTCACTAGCCTGTCCGCTTTTATCGAGTGTAATTGTTTGAATCTTATTCGGCCTTAAATTTCGAATTATGCATAAAGCCTCCACGGCAATTAATCATAGGCGGTCATCATTGCGGTATGCCAATTACGCACTATGAAGTTGTTGTTTATAAGTGCACCTATTTATTTAGTTTTCGCATTAGTTACCTACATTCTGTGTCAACGTTTGACATAATACATCATGTAGCATTATAATTGCTTAACAGCGGAGACAATAATTACTGGTACGGTTAGACTACAAATTGTGAGTAGTTAGAGGCAGTGGTGCGAGGCAGGTGCTAATTATTGTGTACTTTAAATGACAGCGTTGGCATTGATCGAAATCAGCATACATTGACGCCTTGATCGCCTCCTTTGTGATAATGAAATTGTGTTACTTATCTTTATCACTCACGCAATGGACTGGGAGTGCAACAAAAACATAGAACGCACCACCTGCTAATGGTCGATAGATGCATAAATGCGGTTTTTGAAATAAGTGGTATCGATAGGGCGTTTGTTCACTTTTGTTTCCGAACAAATTTGCTATAATTAATATAAGTGTGAGTAAGTAAGACTTATATTTAAACTGTCTTTCTCACTCTCCTAGTGGAACCGGCACTTAGAGTCAATCAAATTTAATGCTTGTAGAAGTAAGTTTTTATATATACCTACCTAACCTACCTAAGGAGCTCGATGGCGCAGGTGGTTAGCGCGTTCGGCTGCGATAGTTGAAGTTAAGCAACTTTCGTAGTGGTCGGTCATTGGATGGGTGACCAAAAATCTTCTATCTCGAGTTTCTCCGTGCTTCGGAAGGCACGTTAAGCCGTTGGTCCCGGCTGCATCTGCAGTCGTTAGCACCCGCCAATCCGCACTGGGCCCGCGTGGTGGGTCATGGCCCAATCTCCCTATTCCATCCATAGGGAAGGCCTGTGCCCCAGCAGTGGGGACATTAATAGGCTGATGATGAACCTACCTAATATAGACCAGGCCGCTGACAAACGAACATAAGAAAAAGATATAATAAGACTGAATATTTTTTTATTGATGGCGAGTGATTGTATGCACTGATAATACATCTGTAGGTATGTCTTGTTTCTTTGTTACTCAGACAGAGCGCGAATGAATGAAATGCGTTGATTGCATGTTAATGTAATGAGAACTAATTGTTTCTCCTTACTTGAAACCGATATTTCCTTATGGCAAGTGAATAGAACTCAATTATCGAGCCTCCATTGCTCATCCGTTTTCCCGAAATATAAAAAAACAGTTACAAAAAGTTAAAGAAAATACATTGTTTAGTTTAAAAAAAACTTACAAACATGTAGCTGTTTTCAAATCTTACTTGGCTTAGTACGGGACCCTACGTGTGAGAATCGGACCGAACTCTTAGCACGAACCAATATCGAATTCGAATAGTTTGCGAGTTCGAAATGTCACTGTCAAATTTTGTATGGAAGCTTAAACAGCAGCGCCACAAAGGACGTAGCGAGCACTAAAAATCAGTGCACATTTGACAATGATATTTCAGACTCGCAAACTATTCGAATTCTATATTGGTTCGTACTAAGGGTACATACAGGTTAGGCAATTTTTACAAATTCCAATAGTTGCCGCATACTGTCTGTTAAAACACTATATACCCTACTGTTATTATTTAAATATAAATACAACTGCAAGAGAAACATACAACCACTGTTCAAGTTAATTATTTAGATATTTTGCAACTAGATGTCGCACGAACGGTAAAAATGTAGTTTCAAGCGATAAAGAATGAACTTACGAGTTCACACCTCGCGCTCATGTCACCTGTCGAAGATCAAGTTCCGAGGCCGATTAAGCGGACGCTTTTCTGGTATAATATAAGAATAATAAAAAAATGAGTCGTTAATTACCGCCCCGACATAATGGCGTTTATTTTTCGAGTCGCATGGTAGGTATTTACATAATTTTGAGTGCACGCTTAATATTATTTTTTTGCCACGGCAAGTAAAAGACGTCGACGCGAACGTGATTAAAATTATGATCAAGTTTTTTTTTCAGTTTCGGTTAGACACACATATTCAATTGAACAGAATGATTGATCATGATTGTTCTTAGTATACTGATCCGTGAAAACTACGGTGGGGGGTGCGGCCAATTCCGATGCAAATAAATCGCCGTCAAAAGCCAATATTTGTTTCAAGTCTGGGTCTTAATGGTCGCGTCCTTACTTGAAAATTCTCATAAAGGTCACGACATTATATTGACTCATATTTGGATAGTTTTGGATAGTTTACAGAAACAAATGAACACGTAATGTACATAAGTTAGTTACGCTAAAAAGCATTTCTGTTTCCAAAACGAGGGGAACAAATAAGCTTATTTCTAATATTCAGTTATCTCGCCTACAACCTTAGACCCATATGTATCATAATAAGTAAGTCGTAGGGGCGAATAGCGGGGGAGCGAATCCCACGGCGGGAATCATTCACACTTTTAATTTAGTTGCTCCTAATGTATGCGAATAACTGCGAAGAGTGTCTGTCGCTCAGCTCTCCCCACGAAACTCACTATCTAACTGTTAAACAACTATCAAGCAAGCGCAAGGGTGCGCGCATTGCTTAATAGTTTCACCCCCGGCATCCTGTACAGTACATTATGCAAATATGCCAGTGATATGTCAACCTCGCTCCGGAGTTTTATTGTAGCCGCGCTTGCCGGGAGTATGTTCTCTTTTATTAAGTCAGCTTTAATTAAATTGAGGCCGACGTATTTGTAAGGCCCGATTGACTGAAAGGTATTACCCGTCGAGATTTATCTGATTACGTGTGAGATTAATGCGGAGTGCCGGTTTAGTGTGGCTAATGGTGTTTTAAGATGATTCCGCCTGTTGACGACGTCTCACTGCGTCTCTAGGGAAATGGACTTTGACGGGCCGGAACCAGAATGTATGGTTTACCTGAGAATTGTGGCGACTGGCGAGCCGGAGTCCGAATCCGGAAACCGTAACCTTGGTTTATAGCACGATACAGAAACTTGAAGTACACGGAGTTTTGTTGATTTTTTTTTAGATTCATAGCATGAAATCTGGATTTAATGAGAAAATTAATTCTCACTAGATCCATCATCTATCTAGCCATTGGATTTACTTAGAATGATCGCATTCTACTTCTCCAAAGTGCTCATTGAAATGATTAGCTTTAATGTGAATTCTACATTAGAGTATTTAATTTTACACCCACCAATATGTAATTCCCTGACGATTTAGCCTATAGGGAAAGCCTGTGCCCCAGCACTCGGCAGTGGGGACATGAATAGGGTGATGATGATGATGATTAAAAGAGCATTTCGAAGAAGTAGTTTATTTACAAATTGTGTGTGTTACAAATTTACAAATGTATTACAAATTTACCAACGTAAGAGTGACGATAAGACTTGCGACTATAACATTGAATACAAGTTATTGTATAAAATTTTCAGACAGTTTTATGATAAGAGAGTAAAAATGACAGACAAATGTTAAATTAAGTGTGAGTTGAACCACAGAGCTAGTTATTAAAATTAAATTTAAGTACTACTTTACCGGCCTCGCTTGGGCAGTTAACTGTCGCTATCTAATTATGACCTCATTTTGACTATCGTCAAATGGTGCAACCAATTTTTGACCTAACCGGTACTTTAACCGAACAGTTACCACCTTATTATTAACGAAAAATAAGCTTGGATTATTTACTCCTATATTTTGTCTCTGTTCATTGAATGACAAAAGGCATTTGAGTGGAATGAACAAAACACGGCGAGACACTAGTCTAAGCTCTTCCGTTAAAGTTGGTTCAGCTCATGCTTACTGTACAATACTCGCTATATTTTCCCATGGTTGTTGTAGGTATACTATTCGAAAAGGTTTCGGCACGATTTTGTTTATTCAATGAATGTTGCGATATTTCAGAGTAACCCTTACGCGCTGAAGGAGGGTGGCGGTGAGATGTCTGCGTGGACTTCAGCCGGGCTGCAACCCTCGGGCGGCTACTACCCCTACGACCCGACGCTCGCCGCCTACGGGTAAGTCCCCAGGGTCCGAGGGACCCCGCAGGTCCAAAACCCCCGCGCCACTTTAGATAAAGCCCGCGCCACGCAAGGATTAACATAATACCACCCTATCGAAACTTATCTCTCTAATAGATTGCAATGCGAAAGGCTCATGTTTGTATTTGGCGACTCGCTTTGACTTTAATAAATTTTATGTTGTTGCAAATGTACCTATCCCGTCCATCCTTCCCCCAATTTCTGTGTCGCGTTTGTTGTGAATTGAGCCGCATTTTACCGAGTGTTAGATTCCAATAGCTTTTTGTTTTCATTTGTGATCTTCTTCTGTTTGTTTTGGAGTAGATACTGATAGATAGGTAACTACGTGAGCGCGAGCAACGCAACCGCGAGGACGGAACGTCCGAATCGCATGTTGGGTCGTGATATCGATTTCGTAAAATTTTAATAGTATATCGACGACATGTACACGGGTAGGTGAGCGAATGAGTACCTATAAACAAAGATTAAATTTCAACTCGTCTCGTCGCGCTTTCAGTCTTCAAACGCTCGTAAAATATATATCGCCATAATGGGACGTCAACGTGTTAGGCTGTTTATTAGACCGTTTATATTAAATTTCGAAAGCATTCATCGCCAAATCACCTGTCATTATTAGCTTGTTAACTATTCGTCTTATATCGGCCGGCGAACATTCAAAACGTGTAATATGATATGCGCATTTAGGGACGTCACTCGACCGCATATTATTTCATTTAATGATTATACTTGACCAAGCTTCTCATAGTAAGAAACACTTTTTTATTATTAATAAACACCTTTGCATAACACTTTTTTTGTATGAAAATAAATTAGGATGTTACGGGTATTAAATACATCCATAATCTTCAGTTGAATGATTTGTTACATTAGTTTTTTAGATTTTGATGAGGTTCTGTGTGAGTTGATGCAAAGGTGGTAGTAATTAAACTAGAAATGCTACATTTACTTGAAAGATGGTTAAATAGAGGTAGAGATTTAAAAACAACAAATCTATTAGTTTTCCAAAAATTCGAAGCAAAAGCATTCCTGAAAAATTTTTTTTATGTTTTAATTTATTAATAAATATTTTTAAATGTTTTTTTTCTGGGTCAAATGTAATTTGAATATTATATTAGTGCCTACGTGTAGGTATTATTTCTCCTTAGTTTTACAAACCAAAGATACATACATTATGCCAGTATTAACTTAGTTGGAATAACTGAAACTGTAATAACTTGAAGCTTAATGGATTTAAGTTGAAGGTGAGCGAATGACCTTTAGTCAGTTATAAAAATAGAAATACTTATAAATATATTCAAAAAGTAAAGAAAAAAACTATGTAAAATAAACCGACAAAGAACGAGTAGAACTCTTATACGAAGGGCTCCGTACTGTATGTAGTTTATCGTTAAAATCTTAAAATTAAACAACTTTCGATAAAACCCTAAAAGAAACAATATTTGGTAACTTTCATTTAAAAAGATGAAACAAAAAAGATATGTATATTATAACTGAAAATAAATATAATAGTGTCAATTGCGGTTAAGAGATATCTCGCTGGCAGACGGACGGAACCGAAGGCTTATTAATATTCCTTAACGTTCCATTTCGATACTGAACCCTAAAAATTACGTAGTGGGTATATAAAAATCAACTGTTTTACTGACTGCGATACCGGTGCGTATAGATACCAAGCTCGATGCAGCTTGCTTGATAAAGGCACACCTAGCGGCCGGTGATGCGTGTCGCCCGCCGGGGAAAAATGACCGGGAAACCACTCCCGACTATCTGCCGTCCCTTTCGAATACATGGATTGTGAGGAGTGCGACAGAGACGAATGATAGCACATCAATTTCGCGCTAGCGCCTGATTAATTCACAGTTTTTCTTTGAAACGCGATCGCTTGACGCGTCGCTCGGTCGCGTTGACGTTTTGGGCGAAATTTTCAACCCGTCAAACTGGCTACCACCACTGGTTTACTCATATAAATCTTTCTGGTTTATAATTAAATGTTGGTATTAAAAAAATGTTAATGCCAAAATCAGCAAAACAAAAGAAAACATGTAACATACATTTATATATATTTTCTATAAAAAGTATGTTATTCTACAGGGAAATTTTCTTACACAAAATCGAATAATCTTCTTATGAATTATAATTGATCAATATGCATTATAATTAATCATATTTGTCACTCACTTTATTGATATAACAATTCACAGTAGTTTTTATTATTAATGGAAAAAATATTTAGTTTGTGGAGTGTCGTAATCAAAATAATGTATTATGCGGACGTATCAATTAAATATACGTTTCACGACGCACTTGAAATTTATCCGTCCATGAATCACACTGAAACTGCCTGAAAATAAAAACACATCATGATACATCAAAGCGGAGTTATGCTGACAATTCGGCTCCGCTTAAAATATAGCGGGCGGTTCGTTGTAATCTAAAAATAATTAGAGGCGACATTAGTTTTTATACGTAAAAAAGACGTAGCGATATAAGTAGTCGGCCGTCGGGACAAGCACGGAAATACACCGTGATATATCGCCCCCGATCCCGGCACACAATTGTTTGCTATCTCACACATAGGATGATTTTATTCAAAAGCGAAACAAAACACGCAACACTATAAACAGCACTCGTTTCAAAGTGTCGTAAAAAGCTTACTTACTCCATAACACGATCCGCGGGACACGGTGGAACCGCATTAATTCATACGAAATACAATCCAACCGACGAATGCTGGCGCAACAATAATTTTTGTATATTCATTACGAAGAGAAAAACTTCAGGAGGTTACACTTAAAAAGTACACTGCCATAAGTTAGCCGCGCCAAATAAACGGACAGAGAAAGGAGCGAGTGCGGTGAAAAGTGTTCGCGAACAACAAAACGCGGCCGCGTCTGTAGGCTCACTTCAGTTAAGTACCGTTGGCTTATTATTTGGAACAGCCTGTAATCTGCCACGCCCGCCGCGCGCCGAAATGAAAAATTACTCGGCTATATTTAACACAAGAATGGATGGAGCACAGAAAACGTACAAAAATTAGAGAAAGAGTCGAGGGAGCACTTGTGCCGCACCATTGAGATCAAAATACGCAGGAAATTACTGCACCCCGCGCGGGTGACACCAAAAGGAATCCCACTGCCAGTGATTTGGGCTGTTGGTTTTTAAATAAACCGTACGAGAAAATTAATGCTTGTTAGCGAGACGCCGTGTCGTCTGACGTTTTATGTTTATGAAGACACATTTCACCTTTGATAACATAAATTGATACAGATTTAAGAAAAACTATTTACCTCATTATATAAAGCGAGCAGACATATCCGCATTTAAACAAGTGTAAAATAAATTGGTTACACAATTTGTAATGGCGCTAAGCGTTGTAATAGCGTGGGTATGTACGTACATAATTTAATTAGAAGACAAGCTCGTATACAAGTGTTTGTCGGCATAAATCAACGCTCGTATCAATGTAAGGAAGTATGTAGATAATGGATTTCATGATAACATAGCATTCGTGGATGTAAATCTTTGATTCGACCGTGAAGATAAATTACAGCACTGTCCAAAGAATAGAGTTTCTGACTGATGTTACCGAAACGAAATATCATTGAAAATTATCAAATATTCTGTCGAGATAAGAAATGATTATGTACGTTTTCTTTCAAAAAAGATTTTCTTTGGAAAGATAGATTACGAACTTTTTAAAGCCATGACAATCACTTTAGTAAAGAAATGAGAAAAGCATATCTCAAACCATAAAAAAATATTATGACCACGCCTGCTGTTAATGGTATAATGAAAACTGTATAGTTTAAAATCAGATCACTGCCCTAAAAATATGATTTCGTTTTATGAGATAATATTTTGAAATTGATGTAATATTTCTTTATACTGTTTTTTTTAGTCTGTATCGTACGGATTTAAAAAGACAACAAAATAACTAGGCATTCAACAAATTTGATGAAACTTGATTTTCATAGTGGGGTTTAGGTACTGTTGGTAGATAGATAAACCTATTGATATTTATCACACACTACGACGTAGTTTTCAAACATCGCTACTTCTTTAAAGAAACAAAAACGCTAAAGAAAAGTCTCTTTTAAATAAAAAAAATGCACAGTTAGCAAAAATCACAATGTAAACTACGGGATTTCTTTATATTTACAAAATGTAAGGGTACATTGTTAACCTGAACACGAAATCAACTCAAAAAGATAATCTGATAAACTAGGTAGATTTGGAAAATAATTTATGATTTCATATTTTTTTTAAACAAAATTAGCAAAAGCGAGAAAAAGATAAACAATATTTTTATAAAAGACACAGTACAATCAGGAGACAAAATAAACACCATCGAACCTTAAACATCTACTCGTGCTGATACGAATCCTAATTCTATCACGAGCCCCCCCCCCCCCCACATGGGGGAACAGTGCTTATGTATTCCTATATAGCAAGTAGGTAGGTAGGAGGGTACGGAGCCTACAATTTCCCCCAGCGGGCAGATCGTAAACCTACGATACCACTGAATTGAATACTCACTCAAATATTAGCTCTGCTTGTACTCGCACACCGCATTCAACGAATCTACATTGTTGTTTTATAAATAAAAACCTTAAAGGTTAACCTTAATATTTTCAACGTCAATCACCAAAAAAGTGAAAATAATTATCTACTTATAGATAAAATCAAATCAGTCCCAAATAAAAAAGTTCTCTATTAATAATCTCCGTAAAAAAGAAACGAAATTATTCTTATAACGACACGGAGCTAATGCCCCGAAATTTTTATACAGCTTCGAAATAAATATCTAAAATACAGGAAACGTCAGGTCGCATTAGACCTGCCATTCGTTGACTTCACATACTATAAAGCATAAATTTAAGCCGTCGGTATTAAGATTTCGCCCTCAAATTAACAAAGATACAAAGCATTTCCGTCCGTAAACGTAAGAACATTCTCCAAACCAAGTGCATGTGTTCTCATAGGGCGGGCGCGACGAGTAAGTGGACTGTCTAAATTAATTAGTGAGCTTTAAGCGGAACGCCCCACAAAGCGGCTGCAGCGCTGGGAGAGAGACAGTAAAGCAAAATACTCTACGAAATTTCTATCTACGAGCGCTTGATTTTCTTAACCCCGACCGCGCTGTCGTCACCGACCGCCGCAGATTTCTGAAGAGCTTATTCGTGTTCCAACTAATGTTTGGTTACGGATACGGTGTATTTGCGTTGACACGAGTATCAATATGGTTTTAGATATGCTTTTATCTTCATAGACTGATATTTACACGTGAGAAGCGGTAGTGTATGTGAAATGGTTTATTGAGGATTGATGAACTGTGTGATTGAAGTCTGTATGCGTGGCGACGACTAGCAAGTCGTCTGTAGACTGGCAATACCTGCGGTGTCCGGTACGCAAGATGGCGACTCAATCGATTGCTGAGCACGCCCACACTACCCACGCCTGCGCTGCCCGCCCTGCAATTGCATCTAGATGCAGCGCACCGCCCTCTAAACGATCAAACGTCTACAACGAAGACTTAAGCTGTAAAAAAATATAACAAAAATAACCTACAACAACAGACATTGGAAAGTTGACCTCATAAAATATTTTTTATTTTTCTTTTAATTCTTCAGATGTAGGTATTTCACGATGATAACGCGACGACAGAAAGAAAAGCGTAACCAAACAAGATGAAATACAAAATTGATCGTCCCATGAAAGAACAAAAGTATCAAACAAATACCACCACTTTTGCAAATTACATTGAAGTCGTGGCTGAGATCCGCGAAAATGTCAGCGTTTTCACGATACTAAACTTTAAAGAGCACACATAACGTTACATTTTGAGGGAGCGTTTTCCGCCAGGGGACTATTTTTTAACTATTTTCACGCGCGGAACCTATTTATTGGGCCCCTCAGACCGCGCCTTTGTCATGTCGGCGAGAAAATCGAAGTCAGGTACGAACGCTGCCAAGGGGAAACGGTTCGCCACAATTACGTTTAGAATGCGGATGCAAATGGGAACGTGGGCCCTAAAAAGTGTATCGAATGCCGCTCCAGCGCCGTGCTAGCTTTATTTTTGCAGTCGTTACGAGAAATCTATTGCCTCAAATAAAACGCCTATCTGCCACGAATTTAAAAGCCAGTTTATTGTTTGCTGTAAACGACCCAACGCGCGACTCATGAATCGTAACCAATAAAGTAATAATTCGTCTCTGATACAAGGATTAGACTTAAAACATTGTCTAAAAGGGTATCGGTCTAATTAATGTTATTTGATTTCGTGGTCTTGTAGCTCGAATGCAGATAATAAAGATGTAGCTCGAATCACAACACCAAATTAGCCATTGCGAAGAGTACTATAATTTGTAAGGCCGGAGGCGGAAATAGCCCATTTTAGGTATATGTAAGTGTAAACGTGTTTGTCGACAGATATGGAGCGGGATACGATTTAGCTGCTCGGCGGAAGAATGCCACTCGGGAGTCCACTGCGACGCTGAAAGCTTGGCTCAACGAGCATAAGAAGAATCCCTATCCAACGAAAGGCGAGAAAATAATGCTCGCAATCATAACCAAGATGACGCTGACGCAAGTATCGACGTGGTTCGCCAACGCCCGTCGACGTCTCAAGAAGGAGAACAAGATGACCTGGGAGCCCAAGAATAAGACCGATGATGATGATGACACGATGCTATCGGACGAAGAAAAGGATAAAGACGAGCAGGATGAAAAAATTAAGACACACAAAGGTTCGTAGATTTCACTCCTGAGCCTCGATAAGACCTAATATTTGCAAGCGACTTTACCTTTTCCAACTAAAAGTAGATCGTTCGTCCTTTATGTTGCTTGTTCCTAAAAAGGTCTTTTCGAGGCTTTGTACAACATTTGCTTGTCAATGCAACAAATGGTCACACGTCGCTGTGAAAAATTTGTTGTGGTTGACATTCAAATGTTGGACACTAAAATATCAGCTATTTTCTTTTTTACTCTTTGTTACATTTGTGTATATTTCTTGCTTGCCATGCGAGTGATATTAATCTATTTCACTGATATGTTCATATAAAGCTGTAATAATGTCTGCGACAGCGAATTACACCACATACCTACTTGTGTGTTTCCTAATACTTACCTCAAGGGAACCGTTTGCTTATGTTCATGTTCCAATAGCGCCGGTGTTGTTAAACGTTTAAAATTGCTTTAATTTTGTCGGTGTATAAATCGCCGAGTGATTTGGCATAACGCTGCTGAGGGCCGGAGGGTGTGCGGGATGCGAAGAGGAGGCAGAGGGCCGGGAGGGGCGGCGCGGGGAGGGGGCTCTCAGGCGTGTAACTGTGCGTAACCGCTCCTCGCTCCGGATTTCCTATTCGTAGTAGTGGGCGGCGCCAGGGCCCAAATTTCATATAACGCTTCTTCCGTTCGTCGGGTACAACAGGGCGACGCTCGGAGGTCGCGTTCGGCTTGTCAGACGATCTGCCCTACTTCATGTTCTTGCCAAAGGATTTGTCGAGTTCGTGGATCGTTTCTTTTATGAGGATATTTCGCCGGAACGTAAGTAAGTACGGTTTTGGGGATTTATAATGTGTTCCGATTGAATGTGGAACCTTTTTCGCCGCGGCCTTTGTCGTGCCGCCGTATCCAGTACTGTTTCAACTAATCGTAATCCGGGGATGGAGTGTACGACGACGTTGTAGGTTACAATAATAAAACGCAGAACCGGAACGTGAGATCGTAGAAGAGTAATAACAACAAGGGTTGCTGTTAGTCGCGGTTGTCAACGACATAAATTATAAGTGGGCATTGTTACAATAAAGATGGTGTGAAGTAGGAGTGTTTTCATTGCAAACTTCACGGTGCTAATGGAAGCGCGGCCCGGGGGCGTCACGGCTAGCGCCCGGCATACGTCGCCTAATGAAGCTGACTATTGTTGGGACAGAAGTACACTTAATTCGCGGTGCGAATGCCGTTGCGCTCGCCGGGAACAACACTTAAGGGGTCGTAAAATGGCAACAATGAAATAAGTGTCCAGATGTGAATTAAAAATTGCCCGTTATGAAACTCGCATTAGTTATGCGCATAAATTTGACCTGAAATAAATTTTCCACTAAAAACAATCAAAAAGCCATCTTTGTATTTTGTAAGGAATATTTATTTCTTTTCAGAAAATACCATAAAACTGACATTTCCCAACAATCAGACTGACCAGTATTAAAAATATAGATTGTTTTTTTTTTTGTTTAAAAAGGTTAGTTGGTTTTTAAACAGTCACTATTGCCTAAAACGCTTCCATTGCCAGAAAGAGATTTTTGAGATGGATGTAACTTCTTAAAATGTAGAATAACTCATTCTCAATGTTACGTTTCGTTTAACAAAAATAAAACGAATTACCAAGAACCATTGGATGTAAACATTAATAAACAATCATAAAACAAAAAAAAACAAGCTTAAAATAATTGTTTTTAAGTACGAACTTCTTTAAACATGTCATTAAAATAAATTACCCTCTCTCAAACAGTTTTATCAAAGCAATAGAACCGATTCAATTTAATCACTCACTTAATTGAATTTCCAAAAGCACATCTAGAAAACCTATACATCTTTTTTCTCACTATCCCTTTTGAATGAAAAAAATGGCAAGTGTTCCCTTCACCATATTACGGATTATGCGCCCCGCGGCTTCTCTCGCTATGAGGGGGGAGTGCGTCTGAGTGCTTCCTTACGTTTTGGAAAAAAAGTCACATCAAGTCTATTTTTTTTGTAAACTTTTATTTAAATGTTTAATAATAAAAAAAACAAGACCCCTAAAAAGAATAAAGTAATACAATTTACTAAGTTATATCTAAACTACATTTAAAGTCAAATCATCATTTGGTGGTGCCATGCCAACCCAAACAGTAAACAGTAACTCAGATTTATCAACAAGCGTCGTATCCGATTCTAAATGTGAATTTGACTTTGAATGTACTTTGGATACAGTAAATTGTATTTTTTCATACTTTTTAATAGTTTATTTTAATGAAGTTTTGTTTTTACGGTTTTATTTTTATAGATTTTTTTTTATTTCGTTTTCTCGCAGAAGATACATTACCCAGATCCATCATGTATCCACTTTTTATTCACTATTCACAGAGTCACACCAACTAACTGAGAATAAGTTACCTGGTCCATTATTTCTTTCAAATAACCAAACACGAGCTGAGTACTGTTTGCAATTGAGGAGTTCCATTGTTTTCTCCGAAGGTACTCATCAGATCTTCACCAAATATAATATGGGACAATCTCGCAATAAAACTGATTCAAACTCAAAAAGATTGGTCAAAATCGGTCTAAGCATCTCGGAGATATTTGCGAACAACAATAAAAAATATACTGACGAATTGAGAACCTCCTTTTTTAAGTCGGTTTATAACAATATTTTAATAATCTCTAGTGCCCTAATATTAGTTTTCTTAATTACTTTAAACACTTCATCTTTAATGTGAAAATTCAAAGATACTGTCAATAAAAGTTTTATGTAAAATTTAATCGTTATTAATACAGAATTTTCGGCCCTTCTATTAGAACTACGATTAGGTATTGCATACCAAAACCAACTAAGAGTCATGTTTTTTCGAACTACATGTTTTACAAAATATTAGCAAACTTTCTATCCTTTAGACTAGAAGGTCCGGCGACCTAACTTCTAAAATAATAAAAACATACGAGAAAACATTTTTTGTGGATGAATTTGAAATTTTGAGAATGAACTCGATATTGATAAATCTTGTACAAAAATCGAGCAATTGAATGATTACAGAAAATTATATATTTTTCCATTTTACTTGAAAGTTACTTATGATTTCCTATGTAATTACAGTCATAATAATTCCGTCTCTTTTATTCACTTTCATTCGATTTTGAGTCTCTTTAATAACACACCCGATTTGGAAATATATCCGGCTTCGCAATCCCTCCCATATAATCGTGTTCAAACATGTACTAAGCCATTCTTTTACGAAAATGTCAATGATCACGACGTGTAATATATCATTTTAAGTCACGGCCAAACAAAACCAATATAGCAGTTTTCACACGCGATCCCTAGGCCGGCGACGGCAAACAAACATCCAGAACTATCCCGCGCTAAGCCACTCATGAATAAAAGCTTCATTTTGTGACCCCAACCAATAAATGTTAATTTTTGTCGTGAGCACACGCATCGCAAACAAAATATTAATCCGACGCGCGCTAATGGAAAACGAGTAGAAGTAATACAAACAAGTGAGCATCGGGGCGTACGCTCTCGGCTGAGATGTAATAAATTGCAGTGAGGTCAGTTATAAAGTGCAGGATGCATTCGAGAATGCGCGGTCGGGGGTGCCGCGGGAGTGGAGAGCGGCTCGGTGGCGCCCTCTAGGTCCGAGACGCGTTTTTATTATGTCTCACGTCGCCCCCGGCTCTGTGACTAAAGGGGAAAACCACTCGAGGTATCAAGTGTTTCGGCTCGTCTGATTTCCACGCTCGTTCCGCTCACGCGTCGGTCGCGTCGGTGTTACTAAAGTACCGACCGTTTTGGGAAACCGAGCACAATTTCGTGTTATGGTTTTGGATAGTTACTATCCATTTTAACTTGTCTTCATTAACATAAACATAAAAAACGGGAACACATAAATCTATTAGCGCACTCGACATCCATTAATAAGATTGTTGATCAAACACCATCCGAACTTGATTTTAAAACCTGTTGAAATCAAATTCGCGAACTAGAACGCCACGCACGAATAGTATAAAATTATTGCCAAACAATTTGTAAAATTAGCCCATCGGACACATTAAACACGTTGCCGAAATAAAACATTATGGAATCATCCAATTCTCGCTTATCTCCCGCCCGTTGTGGGCCTTTATTAGATTAATACAATGAAAATTAAAACAATTTGCCGGATAAATATCTTGGCTCGGAGTATCACTGGCGTCCCTATTTATCCCTTGTGGAGGGCAACACGGATAACCCCTCTTAAAAGCTAGAGCAGTCAGCATTAAATGGAATAAAGAGAATGAAGTCGAGCGGTCGTGCCCCTCCCGTACGCGGGCCTGTGAATTTCATTAGTCGCCTACCCGCCCGCCACCCAAAACCCACTTTACAACAGAAAATGGCATTATGATAATACTTAGAGCCTTATAAAATTTCACTGAATAAACATTTTTGTGTAATTGTACAATAATAATAATTTTTTTCATCATCGAGGAGGAAAACGGCGTACGAAAAGCAAAACGACCGTAATCAAATTACGTTTTAACAGCGCAATGATTTGTGGATAGTAGATAGATACGTAGGCGCTTACGTTTATCGTAAAACCGTGCGATTCTCTCGAACACGAAGAGCGGGGAAATGCGTGAAGTGGACAAAATAGAAGAAAGGACGAAAAGCGAGGTTGACCATTAATTGTGTCGCTGGGCACATTCCGCGGAGGAGTGCGGTGCCGCGGGGAGCGCCGGGAAATGCGAAATAAATGCTCAGCTTAAATGCGAAAGGGATCGAGGCGGCGCCCGCAGGGGAGTCGCGCCCCAAAGTGGTATTTTCACTTCGCTAATCGGATAACCACTTAACGAATGGGTCACTGCACGCCAAACGTATTTTCACACGACTTTTCTGTAGGGAGCCGATGATTCCGCTTCTTACGAGCTAAAACTTACGTCCTGTAACGGTCACGTCGACCGTTCAATCCGGTCCGTATCGATCGTTTTTAAGCTCTTTTTATTGTTGTTACTTTCGCTACGGAATCGGCTATTGCGACTAATCTGATTGTGTCGACACGCGTGCCTTTATTTCGCTACCGTACGGCCATTGAATGTGACCAAGTATTTATGTATCTTTACAGATGAGGAGCGAAAAGGCGACGACATGCTACAAGGCATGCATCATCAGCTGCTGGGTTACGGAATCAAGGAGGAAGCGAAGCGAGCCACTTCCGACTGCGGCGTGCCGATACCTGCGTCGAAACCGAAGATATGGTCGCTGGCGGACACCGCGGCGTGCAAGACCCCGCCGCCGGCGGCTCAGCCGTGGCCGCAGCACTCGTACGGACCGGAGCGCGCCTCCGCTGCGGACGCGGGCTCCAACGGCTTCGCATTACCAGCGACGGCGGCGGCGAGTCCCGCCAGCGGCTCCTACGGTCGCTACGGTGGCTTCCCCGCTGGTCAATACGGGGGTCAACATCCCTGCGTACATCCGGCAGCTTTCCCCGACGTCCAAACGGACACCCCTCCACAAACTCCGCCCAACATGAAGGTGCCGAGCGTCGCGAACCCACTGGGCAGCGGCGGCAGTTCCGGCTACTGCTTCCCGCGGCACCAGCAGTCGCCGCAACGCGATCCCTACCACAACCCCCATCATGCTGCCAACAGCCATCAACCCAACCAGCCTCATCACAACGAAGGATCTGCGGCTTTCAAGCCCTTCTATAAAAGGTGATTATAATTATCCGTTGTCATTCAAAAGTATCTTTCAGTAGGGTTTACAAATCAGACATGCACACAAAATTAGATACGTAGACGAAAAGCAAGCATGCTCTTCACCACGTGAAAAGAGTGAATGTTTCCTATTCCAGCTCGCTCCAACATCCCGAAGGTTACGTGTCGGCCGTCTGAAAGCGGACGGTGCACCAACGGCGGTGAGTTACTGATTGCTTCAAATAGTTGAGCTTGAGAGTCGAGCGAACCGAGTGAGCGCGACGTGAAGTGCGCATCTAAATGAGTGAGGCGGTCGTAAATGGACGATCGTAGTAAAGATATCGGGAAAGCCATAAACAGAGTTTGCGGTTTAGTAGCAGTCTCGCGCCGGGGTGTCATGTTGGTAATTGAAAACAATGGAGTAGCGTGGAGCGCGAGCCGAGGTGGAAGGGCTTTGGCGCGAGGGCGGCCAGATTGCAATCTCGCGTCATTTGTCAGTGTCACGGACGCCACCGCACGCCCACGTATGCGAGTGACCTGCCCAAATTAGCTCTTTTCGCTAAATCAACATGTTAAAGTTGGTACGCGCGAACAAGTATCAGTTCCGTAAAGACGAATTCGATAAACTCGTTAATGTGATTTTCTTTAATTTTATGGATACCTTAAAAATTATGCTCAAATAGTATATAGATTTGCTGAAAATCGCTGTTCTTTTTTTGTGCTAATCTTTCTTTATGACAGTGGGTGTAATTAATTTCTATTGCTTTAAAATGCTTCAGTTAGTTTTTCAAAGTATTCGAAGCTTTATAGAATTTAGATTTTCTGTTCCAAAAATATACTAAATAAACAAATTACCAACCGCTATCTAGTTGATGTTTGCATATCTATCAAAGCGTTAAAAGCACCGTGTGAATACGGTGTCTATGTAGTTCCCCGATGGTCCGGTGTGTCGCATTTTTCTGAGAGTCCTCAAACCTTTTCTAAGAAGGGGCCGCGGCATCCAACATTTCATTTCATTACAATAAATCCGTAGTCGACACCGCCGCACAGAACGGCATCGCCAAGAATTTTGTTTTAGTCTAACGCTCACAAATTCACTTCTATAAACCTTTTGTATTATTTTCTTTTTCACGCCTTTTTGTCCCACGAATTCCTTGACGCGAAAATAACTTCTTATCGCGGCATTCTTTTAAAGTAGCCTCAAGATTCTTCCTGGCTCGCCATCCTCTATATTTTTTTGTTCGTTTTGCCTTAAATAACGTCCAAAGTATCGTATTCGACTTATTATTTTGCAAACCGATATCGCTACCCAATCGAGAACTGTTTCCATTTTAATTCTTAATTTGGGATTACGGTCATTCGGGAGAGGATTCATTATTAGTACTGAATTATTCATCTTACGGTCGGAAGTTGTAACGTTAAGTCCTGCGGTAATGCAATACACACCTAATTCTAATCTTATTTACGCCGTCAAATTTGAATAATATTGTGGTCGGGGTATTGTTTGAAACAAAAAAGTAAGGATTTACAAAGAGCATTGTTTATGAGTGTCGGAGGGTGCGGGGCTGCGCGCGCGCACGGCAGCGCCTAGGCCGCGGACAGCAGCGGACGGCTTGCGTGGGCGCGGAATCTCAATGGGTCCTCTTCATTCACAACACTACCTCCATATAAAAGCCGCTTTACTTTTTTTCCGACGCCCTAATCTTCCCTCTTATCTTTTGATCCTCGCTCGCGTCCTTCTCTGTTTCATTCAGTCGCAACTCGCCCGGGCAACCTGTTTTACTTTTTTTTCTCATTGACGCCGTACAAACTTTAGATGACCGCGGCCGAGGTCGAATTTTTATTTCTTTCACATTTCGGTTTTCCGGTCCGGGCGATTCGTTAATAAATTCTCAGATAATGAGACTGAACGTTTCGTCACCTCATCTCGATTGGTTTGATTTTTTCTTTTTTGGTTTATATGTGTGAACGCAACGGCGGGCTCGCACCGGTGACACCGCGATAGAATCAAAACAGCTATTGGAATGGACCTCCTTTTTTATTAATTTAAATACCGCTATTCTTTTAACAGGATGCATTTATTGTTTTAAAATAAGAATTTCGGAACACATTTGAATTCAATTTTAACGATGGGTCGTGTGGAGTGTTTGTTGTTCATTCAGAGATGTATAATAATGTATGCGATCGCTTGTTTCAGGTAAAGCACGTGAAACCTGGGTCGCTGCTTGTTCATCAACTACTAAGGACTGTCAAACTTTCACAGTGGCACAGTGTTTCAGTTCGTTTGTATGATCCACGATGCAATGGAACTTGTAGGTGCATAGAACTATGGCTGGATAAGCGAATACAATGATGTAGACACTTTGTAAAATTATTATGATTTTGGTAAATACGTTAATTTGTATATCGCATAGTATAATTTCTAAAACGTAAATTTAAATGCACAGTTTAAATAATATAGTGTAAAGAGAAGTACTTAATTTTTTTTCGATGTGATTCATGTCGATGGTCATTGTATGAAATCAATATTGCTCAGTATTTTTATAGATTTAAGAATGTTACGTAAATATTATCCAAATTATTTATAGACACGAGAAGCGCAATTAATGTGAAATTATTGTAACCATGATTGATTGGTTTTAGTGAAATATTTGTACATTAAATGAAATCCATCTATCGTGATGACTAAATACATTAAAAATATATTATGAAAAAAGAAATGTTCTATCCTAAGTTCTTCCACTGTAACTTTGTTTGATAGTTTTGGAGCAATAAGTTATTAATTAGTTCAGGTGCCAGACTTAGCTTTCATTAGTTTTAAGTGAATTGTACATTTAGCGGACGGGATGCTTATTTTGATTTCAATAACTTATGCAAAACAATGAATTTATTTTATTTAAATGGATTAACGATTTTATTCAATCGTCGATTTGGTTATTGTTGTTGTCATTGTATATAAAATGTTTTGTAGATTTTCTACTTTTAGTTTCTCGGAGAAGTGTACAAAGTAATTAGTATGGTTTTCGCAACATTCGACGTTGTTTCGATACTTCGAATTAAATTTTATAAATATTGTTTAAAGTATTATTAGAATACACTTGTACATAAATATATTCTGAATATTTTTATTTTGATCGGTCACGCCGTCTCTGCATTGCGATGCAGACTTTGAATATTAGGATTTTATTTGTACGATGTTGGATTTTAGTCATGTGGGTTATGCGTTAGGTGCGTATTTGATGATGCTATTGGTGAAATGAATAATGTTAAACAACTACTATAGCACTATAATGAGGCCATATTTTGTATGAGATAACTGGACGCAATATGCAAACACTGCAAAATATAAAAATGTACTCCATTTTCCCCATGAATTGGCTCGGACATTACTGATAGCGTAAAGTATATTTTGTTGGGTAGTCTCAGATTAATTAGACATCAGTGAATACAAAAGGAATATGTGATAAGGGTATCTCACACATCGATTTAATTATAATAAATCCGTGTTTATAGTAAGCCGTGTTTGAAGCAATCACACGAATAGAACACATACATTTTCGTTGACATATATTTTTGAGTCTGTACTGTGTCTGTACTGTATGAGGTCACGAAAGGTCTATCTGAAGACTTTTGAGCAACAAATATTTACAACTTCAACGCATCAGAAGAAATTTCATGTGACCAAATCGAATACATTCGCTTAATATTAAATGGTCTATATGGATATTTATAGAATATATACCTATTAATTATTATTATGAGTAAAATTATGTAACGATTGTAATTAAATCTTTATTTCAAATGTGTACTTTTTTATTTTAGACCCTGCATGTGTAAAACTTGATAACAAAACAGGTTGTAGTCAGTTACAAAAGATAACTCTAATTTCACAAAAACCAAAATACTTTAGATGGTTTTTTAAATTTGATAACATTTACAAATTATCAAACAAGATCATAAAACTGAAGCAGTAATAATTTTTTTTTATGCTAAATAGGCAATGCGTTTGACCACAATCTCACCTGATGGAAAGCGATGATGAGGCCTAGGATGGTACACGCCTGCCTAGGAGATGCCTGTTCACTCTGGCCTTGAAGATGTCCAGGTTATATTGGTCCGGGAAAACAGAAAACATGTACTGGATTTATATTTTTCTTACTGACAATAAATGTTTGTAACTGACTGTAACGGATGGATTTGATTGCCGTAACTTATTCACAAATTTCTCACAACAAAAGCAAAGATTATCTACGAGTGCAAGAATTTCTCGTTCATAAACAACGGACGATCTAAACATTCAACTTTTTAGGATCTTTAAGTACCAAGATAGACTATTACGTGATTAATTAAACATTCTGGTGAAACTGCAAAAGGAAAATCAGGTTAACCAATGAGCTGTTCAATCTTCAAGAATGTACAAACAAAATGAAGAAAAAAGTCGATAATGAGTCGGTAAAATTCGTCTTTTACTTCAGAGGGTCCCTCCCTCCCTCTTCTCAACTCTTAAACAATGCTTAAGAGGTAATAAAGGGACTGCTTTTTTCAACTTTTGGAGTGGTTCAATTACGGGGCTCTCCTTACTCAGTTCACTAAATTACTTTAATTAAAAAGTGGTTCAATTAATAAATAATCTTCATACCAGAGTTATGAAATCCCAGTTTATGTACCTACTTATAAATAAGGTAGGTTATTTAAGAGGGAAAAATAGCAGAAAACAATGAAAACTACTTACTATATTCTCTTAAATGAATAAGGCAACTATGGAAAAACCTACCCAAAGCAACGAAATTAACAATTTTAAGCTATATTCAAATATGATAATGACGAATGTCTGAACGACGAAAGCTCTCTTGAAGTGTTTCACAAATTTGTCAAAAAATTCGTAATGGCGTACAAAGATAAAAAGAATAATCTGATCACGTATAATCCATAAAAAAGAAATCATTCTGCGACAAACAAAACTAAACTATCCCTTTACTTAATCAAATCGGTAACTGCCGCAATTGAATCCGCAATAAAACCGCCAGTGATCATAAAATGGTCATAAACATTGATAATACAAATAGCAGCTAATAATCTACGGACCCAATCAAACGGGCATACGTTACGAATTAGGTACCTCTGGAGATCGGACTGCGTTGCGGATGATTAGACCAATAAAACTGTTTGCAGAATTCACAGCATTTAATTAAGAGGCTGTTTATTACAAGCCACAGGGACACGGTATGTGGGATAGAAATAAATTTAAAAAAGATAAATGAAATATACTGCAAAATTAACCTTGTTACCAGATAAAAGTTAGACGTGCGTTCAACACGAGTTTAGGAAAAAATGTCATTAAAAAAACTGCCTAAACAAGGTTTGAAACCGTGTCCAACTTTTGTAGTAAAACCGTAAATGTTTCAGTTATGAGATTGATAATAATTTCGCTGGGCAATAAGTTCTGCATGCTGACACCGTCTTTGATTTGTATGAACTATGCGTTAGTTCATAGCCGACCCCATGTGCTAGCAAGACTAAGTACTTAGGAAGTCTGTTTTCCAATGTCTGACGAGTTTCCAGTGTGGTGCAACAGATGGCACACCTGGTAGTTTCGGTAGCATTTCGATGGCTGCATACGTGCTCGTTTGATATCGATTGCTGAGTCGTTCGTCAAGAGAAGTTCGTTTTTTATTGGTTCAGTTATCACGACAGTTCAGTTTTGTTTTAAAACATTTGTCACTCATGTTTTGGTTATTTGTTTCGAAATATTTCCGTCATAAGTTAATTATATAACTGTATTATTTTCAAACATAAATGTTTAAAAGTTGAGCAGCTACATACAGTTTAATTTTCTTTGGATATAAAAAACAAGCAGTATCATGCTTATATAAAAATATACAAGAAATTACATACTTACCTCGACTGAAGTGCATGATTTCCTTAATAGATGTAATTAGTCTAAGGGATATATTACCTTTATGTGAAGTTCGTTAAATTTTCATTCAATTGTAAATTTTGTATTGAGCTTAAAGCCACTTGTAGAAATTTCACAATTTTGGATAACTTTCCGCAGGGTGCTGTACATATCTCACTTGTAATTTATTTAATGCCGCGTGAAGATGAACTTAAATATCTGATATTTGAAAAACTTCAATTACATATAAACTAATTTAAGCAAAAATTACATATGTTGAAGAACGATTGTCGTGAAAAAAGGTACCTCAATCCGCAATCCCGGCCAAAGTTGTTTAAATTTTTTAGGTGTACAGACATGGTAAATGAATTTGGTTGACAAATGATGTAAGAAAACTAAGCTAAGGCAACATCACCGTTTGCGTAGGCTTCAGAATTCAAAAAATCCCTGGGAATATTTTGTATTCTATTGTATTGTATTTAATGAGAATAAAGATAAAGTAAATGTTACTTGGGTTGAGAGCTTTAAAAATCCTACTGTACAGACAGAAGAACAACATAAAATTCAGTATAATTAGTTATGTACGTGTATGTCTCAGAACTGGGAGCTTAAAACGTTCTATTAACCTTGATGTGAAAGATAATAACGGCCACCCTTAGGGACGTCAATTATTTTTAAGCCCGATTAAAGTTGATGTTATTACTTTCTTTATGATAGCAATAGTACAAGACAACACTGTGTCTAGCAGTCAATATAATTGACGTTTACAAATGCGGACCTAAAAAGCAATGAACTTGTTTGTATTCATTACTAGAAATTTAATATATATTTCAAGATTAGAACCTGTCTCATTATTACCGAAGGTGTTGTATATTAGCAAAGCTATAAAGTAGAATTAAATTTCAATTACGGAAAAAATACAGGTGTTGTTAAATATGCTTTTGTCAAGTTCACCTGTTCGCCTTAGGTGTCGAACCTAATCACTTCAGATTTTTGTGAGGACCGGCAAATTTATTCATACCCTCGCATTTATCACCGCAGGCCTCTCGGGTAGTTTTTCACATGTATGAGGAAATTGCCGACGCAAAATTCTATCACGCTTCCTCGAGAGGGCGAGACCGTTAGACCGTGTGCACCTTGCCAAAACCAATAAATCAAACTATTGCGTAATCGCCGCTTTATGCATCGACATCACCCGAACCTCCTGTTTTATTTATTGCGATTCTAAACAGATTTTTATGTTTTATGACCCCATCTGTTTGGACTAACTTGAGAATTATTTTCTTTAAATATTAGGTGATTGACCCTCTAATCACTCTGACGGCGGACATCCTATCGATCGCAACGTAATAAATCTAAAATAATCTTCGGATCGCCAATTTGTTTACATGTGGCTAACAAGAGAACACCAAAATATGACATAAAAGAATTAATAATTCATTACATTGATTTTGAAGTATAATATTTATTGTGGCATAACGTGTCAGAGACGATGTTATTAACTAAAATAGCTATCAATAAATCTCTATGACTTCGATAAATAGGTTTGGGTGGCGGTTCGCGCCGATTGTGGCTACCAGATGTGTACGGTTACGTATCGGAACATAGATCGCTCCTTGGAGATGAAATCGGCCACATTCCAGACTCCCGACTTCAGAGATAACAGAAAACATTACAACTCATAGTTTATCTACGGCAATTCGTCTGCAGCAGACTGTCGGTATGCTGTGTCACCTCTTGCTTTGATAAATGATGATTTAAGTTCTGCCTTCTCTAGCATGTCATTATCAAAAGCATAATCAATAAGAGCGTATAAACCATAATGGTAATCCATTTAATTTAGAGATCGATTTCCTTCATGCAAAACTGGGCAGTATTTGCATAGAATCACTCAATTGATTAGATGTACAATTAAATATTGCTTATTGATTTACGGGTTCGTTCGACTCACGGAGAAATTTCAAGAACAAAGATTCACCTCACCTCATTTATTATTCTAGAGAGCGTGAAATACGAGATTTGGACATACTTCCATGGTTCTGACGCATAATCCAGCAAATCAATGAGACATTCCTACACGGCTTGAGGGCTCTGGATTACAAGAGTTTGAACTGCTTAAAATGAGTTTCTACCTCCAGCTTCAAACCTGCATACGATTTGATGATATTTAACGTGACTTGTTTATCAGTAGATTTAGTAGCCTAGTGCTAGATGCCAGAGAGAAGTGTTTTTACTGTTACATCTTGTTGCATTTTGCCACTTCATTGAGCACGTTTACTTTTTTACCGATGCTAGCTATGCTTTATTAATTATTTAACACGAGTAATTTTAAACAAGGTTTTTATCGCCTTATTGTAAACCTAATTGAAGAAGTGTAGTAACATGTTATACATTATTCAAAGCATTCGATCAAAAGCTGATAAGGTAAGTAGTTTACCCATCTTGTGGCACTAATATATTCTGTTTCTAAGTGTACAAGTACTATCAATAGGTAACTTTTTTTGAACTTATCTTTTATTCATAAAGTTTCATAAAAGTTCTACTTCACATTATTTTGAAATATTTAACACATTAAAAAACCATACGAAGACAGAGCTAAAAGAACAAGACCACAAATAAAACAGCGTGAAACTAATACTTAATAAATCGAATTAAGCGATACAAACTCGTTGATGATATTATAATTAGGTACCTACCTACGTTGAAAAAGGTCGCATCGGATACGAAATTGAAAAAATGGCTTGATTTAGCCCTCCCATTAACAAAAGCGGACAAGACGATATAAAACAACATAAATCGAGCCCGCCGCGTGAACCGTACTTGGCTTCTCTCATACAAGCGAGCCTGCGAACATGAGCGTGTACTTTATTGCGCTCATCCCGACACGATTCGGAACACGTTGCTCG